ACGGAGGGAGACACGGAGACGCGTCATTGAGTCTGTGACCTTCCAATGCCCCCGTGCCAGACGGGGGTTTGTGACGAAGTGGGGCGAGAAGCGGCCGTGCCCGCCGACTGTCTTGCCGGGGCAGGCGCAGCAGGCAGGGCGTGGCTGTGGAGCCCCCGCTTCTGGTGGCGGCTTCCTGAGCCCTGGATCACAGCTGGGTAGCTGCGTCACCGAGTCCGATGGCACGTTCAAACACGGGAGCTGAAGAGTGTTTAGTGAAGGGACTGCTGGGGCAGGGTTAGGGAGCCCAGGAGAGCGAGGCTGGCACCATGAGGGAGCTGCCACAGCTCCAAACCTGGAGGGGCGGAGGCAAGAGTGGGTTTGGAGCCCAGAAAGGGGCTTATGGGAAAGCTAAGCGGGGGCCATGGCGAGGGGCTATGGTAGAGGGACACGGCCAACCCACAATCACCCAGTGGTCCAGCAGAGAGACAGGCCGGAGGGATAAATGACCTCACTCCCCTCAAAGCCCCTTCTCCTGCCAGGGCCTCTCATTGGTCAAGTCCAGGTGGAAGCCAAAGGCAAGAAAGCCCAGCCGTCCACAGCGGTCGGGCCGGAAAACAGTGCAGAATGGACCGGAAGAGGGGAACAGGGACTATTTGGCCCCAAATCTGTGCTTCCGGAGCCAGCAGTCGCTCAGCGGCCCCATGGGCCAGGCCGAGGCAGCCAGCCCTACAGCATTTGGTCTAAGGGCCTGTCCTCAGCCTGCCCCATCCCGGCTTCCAGTGGCGCTGCGGTCACCTAACTTCCTGTCTCCAATTCCTTTCTGTCTCAGGCAGCCAAAGTGGTTCCAGTTATCTGCAACCAAACCCCGATTACTACAGAATTTGTTATCAGAAACCATTACAGGAGACATATCCTCAAGGATGGGAATCTGTGATCAGTTACTTGTCCCGGTTGAGTTAAAGGCGGAGCGGGGAGGGGATGGGGGTGGGGGGAGTCTCTCTATGGCACATGGTGGCCAACAGTCATCTGTAACCACCCAGAAATAAGCACCCACTAAATCCCCAGCTTCGGCAGACTGTACGCGAGAGCCGATAAGCACTGTTTATACAAGGACTGGGGCTGTGTTTGCTCTTTATGGTCACATCAAAGAGTTTTACAAGGGAAAGAACAGGCCTCAGCTGGAGGTATGTTTAGGGCCCCAGGGAGTTCCTGGTAGCCCTAAAAGAGCCCCTTGTCTCTTGGGGCTGCAGGGCCCATCGAGCTGACACGCAGACGCAGAGTCTAATCCCAGGCGGGTGGTGCAGAAGGACAACACAGACCAAGTCCACAGAGTCCCCAGCTTTCCCATGTGACAGGCGGGGGATTTGGGGGGGAAGAGGGACTCTGAGACTGGAATAGCAACCTGCAGAGTCCGAAGAGCCCTGCCCCCCATGTCTGCCAGAGAGGTGCTCCCCTGCCAGGAAACCCCATCATGACCTCATCTGAGGCAGCTGCCCTTCAAGGGGAAGCTAATTCATCTCGCTCCCCGTCCCTATCCCCCTTCCCAGCCCCCCAGACTTATAACTGCAGTCAGTTCCAGCCTGTTCCCAAGGACAAGCACAAAGTCAAACCTGAGAGGAGAAAGAAGGCTTGTATCTTTTTCAAAAATTGCAAACGTTCACTAATTTACGTCAGCAAAAAAGAGGAAACGTGTCGGGGAGAGGGTTATGAGGCCAAGGAAGAAGAAACACGCTCAGATGGGGCTGCAGTCACGGGCAGACATGCCCTCCCTGCAGACTCTGAGGTCAGGGGCGGGAGCAGGAACAGCTGAAAGTGGTTCCAAACTGCTTGCTAGGCTGGTCACTGAACGTGGACTTGGCATTGGCCTACACTGAGTGAAAATGGGATGT